AAGAACTTATACAATTAAGAATCACCAACAGAAGAAACAACAATCCATTGCAGCTTCATCCACAAAAGATGGCAAAGTCCCAAATAACTGCATCCATTACCAACAATGGAACATGTTGGTGAACTGCAACTGCCCCCAAGAAACTGCAACCAGCGGTGAAATTAGTCGGGAAACAGCCATGGATGGTAAACTAAAACAGATTGTGGCCACCGCCCAACAATAAAAGAATGAAGAGTTTACCCCCTGTACCAAAATCCCTACACAATAGAAGCAAAAGAACAAAGAAGAAAAATAGGTGAGAGGGAAAAACAACGAGAGATGGAAAAAGGGGGTAGAATTGAAACAATGGAACGAAAAAAATCAAGAGGGAGAGAGGAGTGGAAGTGAGGAGAAGGGGAGAAGAAAAACAAGAGGACTAGAGAGAGAGAAAAGATGAGGAAAAGAAAAGGGAGATGGGGGACTCCCAAAGGGGAGCTCCACCCCAGTGGACCAATGGCGGAAGAGGAAACAATGAAAGGCGGACAAAGAGAAGAACCTCAAGGAGGCATTGAGAGAAAGGCCCTCTCTAAACACATAGAGAAGAAGCCTCTGGAAACCTAGAGAGGAAACACAAGAAGTACTCTTCCCACTTGAAGATGAGGGATTTGAATCCAACTATTAGGCCTTGAAGATAATGCACTCCTCAACTAATCACTCTTCATTTCCCCCCTTTAAAAATGTTTGTGCATGCACCAAAAATCAATGCATTTTTTTTAAATCTACACCGTTAAGAAACAATAATTTCATTAATGAAAGGGAAAACTAATGCTATTTGAACTGCATAATTTCTAAGCAAACTTTTTGATGGTATTTAAAAGTCTCGATTATTCAAAAACATAAACTTGGGGGTGTTAAGAAAAAACTTGGGATGTTCTCCGGTGTGAATTGCTTTCTTTGTCATGAGTTTCAAAAAGAAATTAAAATCGCCCGGTTTGAAAATACACACTATTTTGAAAAAACATGAAAACCATCTTTTCTATTATAAATGTGTCTGATTATTTTCACGACTAAAAATAAAGAAACATGTTCTTGTATTTATGGTTTGAAAAACAAACTTGGTCAACAAACCTTCTTTAATTGCAATTGAGTAGAATATATCCAATAAACTAACAGAATCCCATTTTATGGTTTCACTTCATGAAAATGTGTTTTTTTAGTAGAGCTGATGTGTATGATGCCATAATTATTTTTTGATTTATTTCAATATACCACAACCAAGGTGTTCTAAACTAGTACAACCCATGATTTTTAAAATTGGACTAGACAAGGAAATGTTATGGGGACCGGTTCATGGGTTGAATGGTTTGATCTTCCAGTTCAAACAGACAGATCATTTTGAATTAAAAAATAAAAACAATAAAAAATAAAAAATGGTCAAAACCCATTGTATGGGCTAACAGTTCGACAGTTCGACCACTCGGATCAATGGTCACTAACTAAATCAATGGTTTTTAACCAAAAAACGGTTTTGGGGTGAAACAAAACTGGTTACCTAATCGGTTTCCGGTTTTTTAGTCTAACCATTCGGTCTGGTCCGGTTTTGAAAACCATGGTAAAACCCACAATACAAAATACCAAGGCATTTGTAAATCCAAAATGCTTTTTAATGTGTGGTACTAAGTTGTTGATGCCATCCTTTAAAGTTAGCAAATTAGGGTCTGTTTGGCAACGTTCTGCAGAAGTGTTTCTCTCATTCCCAATGCTCTCACGGAACAAAAACATGTTTGGCAAGAAACAAGTCATTTCTGAGTGAGAGCAATGCCCAAAAAACATGTTCTTTCGGACTGACAAATAGCTACTCCTAAAGAACACATTCTCAAGGAATGCGTAGTTCCCACATCGTCTCAATTTATTTACGAACACGTATTCGCCCTTCCCACACAAGAGAACAAGCAATGTCATCATTTCACATTGACGATATAAACTATCCACCCCTCCAAGCCCTAGTCCTCGAGCAATCTTCTTCATTTCTTCCCAGTGCTCTTGCTACAAACTCACTATGTATCAAGGACCGACAGCGAATGACTAGTTTATCATCTTTGACGACCATTTTCTAGTCAAAATTTCATACACAGGTAAGGTTTTCTTTGTTGTTGGCATTTCTAACTTTGTATGCTCTATTTTTTCATCCTAAAACTTTTTCCATGCTCTATTTTTTCTTCCTAAACGAATATCCTCCTTTGTTGTTATCTTCACGAACTCAAGCTACTATATGTCGATTTGGTGAAACATCTCCTACTACTACACAAATCTTGTCATAGAAAGTAGGTAACTTCGATGTGGGAATCATGATTGGAGTACTAAATTAGATCTTGTCTCAAGAATAATTTCGTTATCCAAACACTGTTTCTATTTTTGTAGAATAAAAATCCATTCTCAAAAAATAATTTGCCAAACGCCTCTATTGTTCTTGAAGAACAAGAAATAAAATTCTTATTATAGCACATAAATTTCTAAAAGAACAAAAACAAGTGAGAACATTACCAAACAAGACAAGAAGCCCAGTCATGTGGCCCATGCTTCTTCCATTAAAAAAGCCCATAATCACTTGTTATTAGGAAATAGTAAAAACCTAGCCGTCAGCCTAAACTCATAGTTGTTTTGCTCATGGAAGGTTGAAAACCCACACAAAGGCATATCCATAAAAGGCAATGGACCCGCAATCAATTTGGCCAGTTTTGACATTTGCTCACAAAACTTAAAAAAAGGGCCTAAAAGTGGGGAAAAAATCTCAGAGACTTTGTTCCTTTGAAATGATAATGTATGTGTTTGGTTCCGTTTATGTTTATTGAATAAATGTTTGTACTTTATTTGGTGGTAAAACCGAGAAATGCAATAATTGCAACTGTTTATGACAAATAGGCGCCACTTCAGCGTAACAGTGAATAAACGCTTGGCCATTTGTGGAAGCTTCAAGATATAACTTCTACAAACGGGGGGCACGCACATAAACCAAAATTCACTTTTTACATTTTCGATGTATGCAAAAGAGCATGAGAGAGAAAATGCTGAGATGGTGCCTATGTGGCACCATCAATAAACATTTATTGAATAAACGTAAACAGAACCAAACACCCTAAATGTTGCTAAATTATGGCTAAAGTACATAATTAGCCCGGATCCTTCGTCCTACTAATTAAACCACATGAAAAAACCCAGATTTAATTATTTTGTCCAAGAAGAAAAACCTACTGTTTAAGTGGACAAAAGAAAACAATTAAAGAATAAAATAAAAAAAATGAGGGATAAAATTATTTGTTTAGGTGTCATTTGGCAAATCGGTTTAGAAAGATCTTATGATAGACTAGATGGCCAAAAGATGTATGGAATGGAAAGTCTTTTGGTATGGTATTTTGAGTTTTTCAAAGTTTGGAAGACCAAAATTTGGTCTTTCTTATTTGACCATGAAAACAAGAAACCAGAAAGATTTATGCCGTAAAAAGCTTATGAAAACTCAAAATGACTAAAAATATGGAAGCTTCAAGTGAATGTTATTGTCTTTTAGCACTTAAAATCTTTTATTTAACAGATATTAGATCATGGTAGGGTAGCATACTTGTCAAACGGTCTAGATCTTTTGAGGGCAAGACCCTTAAATGGCACCTAATGAACTTTTGGAGTTTTGTCTTAAAAAAACTAGACCATTTGATAAGTATCCTAGTCTAATTAGGTGCAAAAAGATGGAAAAGTTCATTTGAAGCTTTTATATTTTTAACCATTTTTAGGGCATGGGTATTTATAACTTCCTACCAAATTTGGATACAAGGAGTTCATACAGACCTAGAGTCTTGGAGACGAGAACCAACAACCCCCCTAGGATCAATCGATTGAGTAGGCTGCTGACACAGCTATTGATTGCCACCTGGCTATCACTTTCAATTGTCACCTTCACAAGATTCCACTTCTTAGCATGTGATTACGTACACACCTTCTTTAATTGCAAAGGCTTCAGCCTGAAGCGCGGTTGTGGCTGTTGAAATACCAAAAGTAGCAGCCTGCAGCCAGCCACATAAACGCCTACTCATCTGAAAATATCAAAATATATGTGGATGAGATTGCGAAGCTCGAGCAGGACAAAAGGACGAACAAGGAATCTCTCTTTGAAATGAGGACGGAAGCTCACCTCGCGACTCTCTCCAATTTAGACTCTTCCATCAAATCAGATGTGCCAAAGTCGTCAGTCGTCTTTGTTTAATTCTTGGCATGAGGTGAGCTTCTTGGAAACTACGTACTTGCTTTCCAACATCAACCAATAATGTTTCCATTTTTTTAATCTCCGTTTCTTCCTTCTCTATGAAGAGCACATCAGTTGCAGTCAATCTTCATTATTCAACGCACATTATCTCAATCATTAATTCTATTTTCCTTGAAACTTTTGTTTGTAGCTAAGATTCTGATAATTAATCAAAAACCATTGGATATTGCTTATTATATTGGTGTGTCTGAAAATCTTTTCAATTGTGACAAGTTTGTCGCAACTTAACTGATTATGGGAGTTAAGTACGTAAAGTTTTCAAATTATCATCAGCCTAGATGCACGGTTGGACCGACCGATGAACCACTAAACCAGTTGACCTCAAATCCCGTTTCTCTTAATGGTTTTGAGGGCCTATTTGGTTCTCAGGAATTTGGGTCTGAAATCACTCAACCAAATGTTTGGTTGGGTGGAATCTGAATCTCATTTCCATTTCCACTGAAATGGCATTCCCCATTTGAAGCAATAATCATTCCTTCTCCCTCTCTTAATTAGGAATAAAATCTCATCAAATAGACTATATATGAGAATAGACCATTCCGAATGCAAACCAAATCTTTGTTTTTTCTTTTTCTTTTTCTTTTTCTTTTTTTTTTTAATTTTTGAACGCCGTAGCTTAATTAAAGTAAATCCATTCATCAGCATCAACCATATTAAAAAACAAAGTCTAGATTGTTTTGAGGACTTAATTCAGCGATCAAAACACTAAATAATTAAAAAAGTAGAATTAATATTGAGATATGGAGTCAACACCATCAACAACAGTCGTTGTGTTAACACGCACAACCAATGGACTCCTGACATGATGATGGCTGCAGCCATCAGACCACACTATCTCCCCAAAATCATACCTCCCCTGAGAATGCTTCATGGGTGTAAGCGTTACGTGATATGAGATTTCTTGTTTGCAATAGGAGAAGACTAGGATTCTGGGCCGGACGACGACCTTCACTCCGTCAGGATTGACGATGCTCACAAAGTATATAGCCTTCTCTGGACCAACGTTGCGCACAGTCCTCTTGATTGTAACAGTGGATTGGAGGTTGGGCACTGTAATTGATGGATAATTCAGGTGTGTTAAGGTCGTCCGATGGCCTTTAGGGCAACTGGTGTCGACCATTGCAGCAGCAGGCTCAAGGACCATGCTCTGTATTTGGGCTTCTGTGTAGCCCAAGCTGCAGAGGAAGATGATATAGTCCCTTGTATTCATGTCATACACTAGTCCAGGGTCCATTGCCTTTACTGGATTTATGTGGCCAGCACCAACATCGAATGGGTCTGCCAGTTTCATAGATCCCCCGGCCAGAATTTTGTCGACGCTTGTGTCTCTTGTATAGGCTGAGCCATATGAGATAAACCAATAGATAGGGCATTGAAGAGAATTGAATGGCAAAACATGATTATATTCACGTAACCCATCCCATATATAGTTGAATCAATGCTTATATGATGATGATGATGATGATGATATGTGGTGGTCTCCCTCATCCTAACTTTGAATTAGGTAAATATATGTAGACTACATCTTATTTGAAAATGAAACTGCATTATGTGAGCCATCATATGCATTCAATCCAGCCATAGAAATTAAGTATATAGTTTTCCTTTACCTAAGGTCATTATTTTGGAGTTCATATTTGCTGCAATTGGAATGTTGATAGGTGCACAAGTTTATTAGTTCCTGTGCAGTCAGGGTGTAGCTAGCTTTGCTCAATTAAATTAATTACCTGTAGTCATCAGAGCTGACTTGATTGCTGCAGGAGACCATTCAGGATGTGCGGATCTGAGAAGGGCTACTACCCCTGCTACATGAGGGCAGGACATGGAAGTCCCCGACTGGAAATTCCAACTCACAGACCGGCCGTCGATGGGTAGCAAAGTTGGAGGCGATTCTGGAGACCATGCAGCCAAGATATTGATTCCTGGTGCACTTATATCTGGCTGCATATATATATTATTTAACTGATTAAGAGCTTACAAAATCATTAGTTATAACTTATAAGCAAGAATCAAAATATACATGGTTCCAGGATTTGACCTGTTTCGTGGGGTAGACAGTTAAGAAAAAAAAAACCAAGAAAATAAAGAATATATATACCTTTAGAATATCAGGAGCAATCGAACTTGGCCCTCTGGAGGAGAAGTCGGCAACCACTGGTGCCGGTGACCTCCCAATGATAGTTTTACCGGGAAGTAATTGCACCATAGGGACCCTTCACCCACATCAATTAAACATGTATGAACTGTAAGCTAAATAATCTGAACGACAAAAACACTTACCATACATACATTAGAACATATGCATGCATGTGTACAAAGTATACAATTATCGTTAAGCTAGCTGTCACTTACTTGGGAGATTGAACAAGATAATGGAGAATTCGAGTCCCTTGATTAACATCTATTCGGATGGTAGGGATAATATCAACATCAGCTGCTTGCTTGGTAGCGGGCTCCGCAAAGATCAACCCTGATCCATTGGCTCTCAGAACTGCCAAGGCCGCAGCACCACTAGAAACAGGCCCTAACGTTGAGAAACACAGAACTAACCTCCCTGAGACCAACCTCCCTCTCCATTTCTCAAAATCACAACTCCTACACAGGTGAAATATGGTGCAGCGAGTTCAGATATCAGCTCCACATTGCTCTCATATATATATAGATAGATAGATAGATAGAGAGAGAGAGAGAGACCCATCAAAGAAATAGTTGATCCCATCCACCAGTCTCCCATTTATTTGTTTGGAGTTGAAGCTCTCACCCTGTGAATAAAAAAAAAAAAACGTGTTCAATTGCTTATCTCAACAAACCATGCAACCTAAAAGATTAAACTGTTAGATGAGGGTCCATTTGTAAGAGCTTCAGCTATGATTGAGCTGCTTTGAAGAAGTTACTAAAAACAGCTTCACTGGAAAGTTGCTTTCTTGGCTCAATGAAAATGTATTTCAGCTTTCCAGGTTTTCACCAAGCATAGCTTCCCACTCCAAGCTTTTCATGGATAGCTGCTGTGTGAAAACCGTCCCAAACAAGCACAAGGTCCCTGAATAGGCTTTTATTCTCTTAATACACTCTCTCATGTGAAAGCCAATTGGGCTTGAAGCATAGACAAACACAAACCCACTCATTACTTGTGCTGAAATTTAATTAATCAATTATAAATGAAGGCAATGAGAAATGGAAGATGAAACACTAGTAAACCATTTGGTCAAATAGGCTATGGTAACATCTCAAATAAACATTCAATCTAAAAACTTGAGCTGTTAGATGAGGAGGTCCTTGAATAAGATTTTACTCTCTTAACAATTACACGTACAAACATGAATACATAACACAAGTTTGTAAAATTTAATTGGTCAAAAGTTAAAACTTAATTAAAACAAATGATATCTGAATTCTTGTACCATTTTCGGTTAATTAACGGCCTGGCGATGTAAAGTGAGTGGTGACCTAGGTTTGATCCTTGTGACGTGTAACCTTAATAGGAGAGAGAATCGAGAGATGGGCAATTAATTTAAACATAATAGGAGAGAGAGGTAGAGGTAGAGGTAGAGTTGATATATATATCGTATTGGCCATAGAGAGTGTGCCAACTAGCTAGATCTTGATTCACCATAAACAAGGCTGAAATTCAAAAATTAACAGGAGAGAGAGAGAGAGAGAGAGAGAGAGGATGTGTGTAGTGATAGATATATAGAAGCAAATTAATTAAAAAGGTATAATAAAGATGGCATGGCAAATAAAATACCAGAATTGTGAGGTTGTTGTCTAGCAGCAGCCGGGTGGAAAACTTCCTGTCAATGGAGGAGGCAGCTACGCATATGCCCCAAGGCGAAACATTTTCCACGAGAGACGGTTCAGGGCCATCATTTCCAGCAGAGAAGACGACGGTGACGCCCAACTGTGTTGCATGGAAGGAACCAATATCAGCGCTGGAGGCGAAGAATGGTGCCAAGGGAGGCCCAACCCCAAATGAAGCCGATATCACATGCACCCCATCGTGCAACGCATCATCGAATGCCGCCAGTATGTCAGCTTCCGTGCACCGCCCGTCCAGCTCCTTACTCCAACATGTTTTGTACACCGCAAGCCGAGCCCTCGGGGCACCACCCCTGCCTGTGCCCTCCCCAAACCCCATGAAGCTTGCATTCTTCACGATGGATCCCACTGCTGTCGATGCTGTGTGCGTCCCATGTCCCAAGTAGTCTCGGGCCGATCGGTACTCTCCGTTTTCACTTGTGTTTAGTGGCCCATATATCTGCTCGAAACCTTCTACGTAGTAACGAGCACCGATCAGTTTCCGGTTGCATGCTTTGTTTGGCACAAACTTTTCACCTTTCACACACCTTCCCTTCCACCATGATGGTACTGGTCCCATGCCGGGTTCTTCCCGGAAACTCTCAGATTCCGGCCAGATACCTACCTTATCATCAATCAATAAGTAAACTAAGTAAGATAATGCTAGCTATAATATTGGAGGGGGAGGGGGGGGGGGGGGGCTTCAAGAAGCATTATTAGTGGCTTATTGCAAGGTAGCTAGGCAAAAAGGCTACCATTAATATTAGGGATTGTCACGCAAACGTAGAGAGAAGAGAGCCAATTAAAGTTTTCTCTCCGTGCATTTTCCTAGTCCTTTTTTTTTATCTTAAGTCTAAACTGTGAATGTATGATTTCTCTAGCTAATAAGTTTGTTTACGTGCATGCTTTGCTTCCATGCATGCAATTAAATCAGCAAACAACCCTATTAGGCTCAGTTTGGAGGGAATACATGCAAATACAAATATGTGCAGTGCAAAACCTTACATAATATGTATTTATACTTTAACATATATAATTTGCATTTGTACTCATTCCAAACTAAGCCTTAATTACAGCATTGGCATAGATTTGCACGAATGGTAGCATTCGAACTCATCAAATAATTAGGGTTGAATTGACACGAGATGAGAAAAAAGATAAACATTTGCACGTAGGGCATCATTTGTGTGTAAGTATAAGAAGATGAAGGTGGGCTTAGGGTGCAGACAGACAGGGTCAGGAGATGAAGTCAGGACAGGACCACGTAGTTTTATATATACTAGCATATATAGGGTTCTTTTTGTGTGCTGATTTTTACTACGAAATGAAAAGTAGGATGAAGCTATATATATAACAAATATCAGTGGATTTGTCTTTCCCTTCCGATTTCAATGAAACAATTGCCTCTAACAAGAGGTTCACGAGAAAGAACTTAAAGAGAGAGAAGAAAGAACCGGAAAGTTAGGATTTATCTGATCGAGAAAAAAAATAAAATAAAGAAGAAGAAGAAAAGAAATTGTTTGGATTCAACTAAAAATTAAAGACCTGTGTCGAAGATCCCAACCACAACATCATCACCGTAAGCTAGTTGCAATGGAGTTGCTGCTTTATTGTGATCTAATGCCAGGCCCATGAAATCCCAGCTTCGCGTTGTGTGCAACCGCAGTGTTTTGCTCCTGAACACTGATATCACCCCTTCCATCACTGCAACATGGGATCTTTTTTTGTTTGATTATTTCTCAACTTGGGCATTAACAGTAAGTCTTATGAAGCGAAGTTTGAGTTGAATATTTAGCACCAGGTGCTTACTTGCTAAAGCAGTGGCTTGAGTTGAATTCAGCCTAGCAGCAAAGCCGGAGAAGCTGTGCTTGTAGCTGTATATCATGGCATCTTTTGCATCTTGTTCACTGTAAAACAGTAATTAAGTCGTAATTAATGGCTCCAGGTTATATACAGAAGAAATACTGTTCAATCAAATAAATTATATTACCTAGAGAAGACCATAGAGAGAAGTTGGACATGGGATTTGGTAGTGAGGAGAGGATCCTTTGCTTGGTTTATCCCTAAGTAGATAATATGTACCTGTCAAAAAGAGGATATATATATATATGAGAAGTGAGATCGAGGACAAGATAATTATGTGGGATCATTGGCAGAGGCAAAGAAAAAAAAACTTGGGAACATTGAGAAATAAAGTTACATTGTCTGTGCAGGTTGAATGGATAGAATAAAGTGAAAGTGATAGAAATAGGCCCCAACACCACTGAAAAGAGGTTGTCATTGTCTCCCATGGAAGAACCACATTCTGGTTTGGGTTGGGTCGTTTAAATAGAGAGGTAAAGTTTGAAACTTGATTCCTACGGATTTGGTCATGGGTAGTATCGTGCAGTGCGTGCTTTGGAAGGCTTTAAAGCTGCAAGAATTCTGACATTTCCCGTGGGACCATGATGATATTTTCCCTAGCTGAAAGATGAAGGTACTCTCTCTCTCTCTCTCTAGCTTTCTGAGAAATGGGAGAAGCAACACCATTTCTTTAACTAAGCTAAAAAGATCAAGGTTAGGGCTTAATTAGGAGTTGCACGATCAAATTAATCAAGGATTAATACTTTAAAGAGAAATGCATGCAGCTTTAATTTCATCATTCTTGTGAGCTTCTCATTGAGCAATTAATGTATATGGGTTCTCCACAAATATGATTAAGATGACAATATTGTTATATATATCATTCTCAAATTTTACAATTGTTCTTTAGGCTCCACCAGTTGCTTGCAATGAAAGTTCGTTTGCACTAATACGAGTGCAAATGAGAAGAATGCAAAATCTAGTTCACTTCTACTTAATTTCCTTTGCTTCGGTTTTATTTTACTTGGTTAATTCGTTTACGATGCAAATAAACAAACCAAGGCAAAAGGTGAAACAAAATTAAATTAATTAGAAGTTGCAACTAAATCATTTTGTGCTGGCATGCTTTTACACCACTGCAAACGAAATTGCAGTGCAAACAAACCTGGCACTATAACCTACATATTCTAGATCATGACTGCAAGGTGTTGTAGACTTCTTTTAGTATTAAGAGAAATACCACTAAAGGACATGTCTAGGTATTATTGCATGTCTTTGATGTACAGTGGAATACGAATTTCAATTCTATACATAATTTAAATCTTACACAAGTACATATATCTCTAATTTGAGGCCATCTGAAGGCTGCTTCCTACTGAAAAAATGAAATAAATTAAACCTTCACAGACTTTGTTAAAGAGGAAAGGAAACTTATCAAAAACCGATATAAACAAACATATCTTAGTGACAAGTAGATTCCTAGGGTTAACCCAACCCCAGCAACAAATGCTTCTTTATTATGAGAAGCGCAAGTAATAACAGGAGATTCTAAGGTAGCTTACTCACCATCATGTTCTCCAATCGAGTTCCTCAAATAAATTAAAAACTGTTGTGGTATTAATGATATCATGCATCCATTCTTTGTTGTTTAAGCTCAAAACCCTAGCTATTTAGAAGCAAGCCTCCTATGTCAGCAGATGATCGAGCCGAGAGAGAGAGAGAGGGGTATAAAGTATAAACTCCTAATGGAACACATACACACCCGGGCGGCCAGAGATTGAAATCAATTAATTAAAAGGGTAATTTTGTTTAAACAATAAATCATTATCTCGGTAAATAAAGCATCAATTGGTGGCGTAGATCATGCTCAGGCGTGCAGCACAAGCAGGATTGATAATGAAGACCCCCTATATATAAGACTTCCCAAATACTCTTTTTACCTTGCACAATAGCTCTGCATCATTGGACTTCCCCCAACAACAACACTACGCACGTCTTCATTGATAGGCATCCAACTTCATTCATGGCAATCTATAATTACATTTTTCTTGTATCCACATACCATGAATGAATTGTAAAGCATCCAATTTGCTTTAGGATTCAATAAATTGTTAATGCTGTTATTCATTAACCAATTAGATTTTTCATAAATATATGTTTCGACTCCAAAAATCAATGAATAATGGTGAATATTGGCAATAAGGTTTTCTAGTTCCCCGGCATATGGTTGATACATGTTCCAAGTCAAACTGTATTATATATACATATTCATGCTTTGTCTTAAGTTGGATTGCTCCATTTATGACTGGGGTTTAAATCTTAGAAACAACCTCTCTGTGTATTTATAGGGCCGGGTAAGGCTGCTCACATTTGTCCCTCCTGGACCCCAACTCGGTGGCTGGGCTGCCCTTCTTATCATGTAGAAATAACTCAATAAGAATAAGGACTTGACATTTTATAAAAAAAAAAAAAAATGTTGATTTTGTGTAATCCGGTAGCTATCTTAATCGAACCCAAATTACAATCATGGAGATAGGAAAGATGTTAACACTTGCCAGGAAGAATAGTTGGTTGAGAAGCTAGCATCATAAATTGGAGTCCGCATCTCCGCCACACAATACCTCACAGCACGTCAACATTTCTCTATGATGATATCATCAGTTTCTAATACTATCATGTGGAGATATTTCCAATACACGGCGGGAATGAACTGTGGGGCGAAGATGTGAACTCCATAAATTGAGGGAAACACTCATGAATTTGTCAAATATACATTTAACAAAACAAAATGGCTATATACATAACACATTGCTATAAGAAACTAAAAAGTCTGTTTTCTTCACAAGGAGAAAGCTTTTATGCTAGGCTTTGAATATAGAAATTAATCTTCTTTGACGATCCGTCGTAATAATTTATTCTAGAAAGAAGAAATAACATTAATTTTGTTTACCATATTTTAAGGACTATGTATAATCATTTTTAAAGAAATGATTACTTGTATACTATTTTGTCCAGTAAATTAATACTTGATTGAATTAATTCGAAATACATGTGATCGATGTGTCACAGCATAGACCATAGCTGAGAAGAAGGCATGGATGTCTCCTATTCACTTGTTACTCTCAGTCCCTTAATAAAATATTAAGGGATGCACATGCCGTTCCTATAAATTCATGTGTGGGTGGTTAATGTGCATATTTTGATTTGCAAGTTGCAACAAATCTCTTAATATACTTTTAATAGCTACTTATCTAGCCACCCTTATGGAGGAGAGAAAATGCTGTGGCTCTCGTCACAGTAATCTGTTCTCAAATCAATATGTAGAACTTTATTTGGTTGAAAAACTAGAGGGAAATTGTCTAAAATTCATCATGAGTTTTCAGCATTCTTTTTAAATTTACCACAACTTTTTAAAATGTCTAAAATTCATCATGTCACTAACTTGGCTAGGTTTGTTTTGAAGGAAAAAGTAGGGAAAGGTAGAGAAACCCATACAAGATCTGTAAAGATTTCTCTACCTTTCCTTTCCTTTCCCTACTTTTTCCTTCAAACCAAACACAGCCTAAACAGACTAATGGGTGTTAATATATTACCATTTTAATATTTAGACATGAAAAAGGAAAAAAAGTTCAAAAAAATATTTTTAAATATAAATACATAAAAACATAGAAATTACAAAAAAAAAATGTTTTCAAATTCTAAAAACTATAGAAATTGAAAAACAAAATCAGAAAATAATTAAAAATTGTAGAAAAAAACACCAAAAATTATAGAAAAACACAGAAATTGTAAACAAATAATAAAAATACAGGAAAATTTAGATTGTAGAAAATAGAAAATGTAAAAAAAACAGAAATTATAAAAAAAAATATTGGAGAAATGTTGAGAACTTATGGTGAGTTTTAGACAATTTCCCAAAACTAAAAGACAAGTGATGGTTACAGATTGCTATATACAATCCTTTAAGCAAATCTATGGCTGAATTTTTCAGTGATGTTGTCTGAGCTGAGGTGTACAAGCAATATGAGCTAGATGAGGTGTTGTTCCGAAGATCTTCACATACAACGAGTTAGATCATCTGATGTGTTTTTTCCTGGGGAGGATCACTCCACTGCTCAAGTCAATGAAGAAGGTGAGGTGAGGTTGGTTAGGCTGAACTAGTTAAGGCCATGTCTGGGAGTGCTTAAGTTAAAAATAAGTGGCATTTAGCACCCAACTTTTTTTAAATGTTTATTTTTTAAAATAGACACATTTTATATTGGGCGTTTGATAGTCTTTTTCTCTAATAAGCACTTAAATTAGTATTTGTGAATATTTTTTTCGTTATTCTCTTTCAAAATTTCAAAATATGCCCTTTGAAAGTACTTTTATGAGAACATTTTTATGAAAACACTTCTAATAATGTACTTTTATGAAAGCATTTTTATAAAAAGTACTTTTACAAAAGTACTTTGGGACATGTGCCCTTAAATATCCGTTGTATTTCTCATTAATAGAACACAATTTTCTACTTCCAAGATGATTTTGGTCCAAACCGTTGCTGGACATGGGTAACAAGCCTCGCCGAAGATGGGGCAAAGAGAGGATGAGAGCCATTGCTCCGAGCTCAAAAATTGGCTAGGGTTCATTCAACATTTGCCATGTAATCCCCTTCAATTTGAGTCTGAATCAGGTAGACATGTCATTATAAGAACCTTAAATGAGCACTTTTAAATTTTTTTAACACGTCCCTTCAATTACTTCCAACCTATCATTGAAAAAGATTAAATACAACTTTAACATAAAGTGCTCATTGGAAGTGATTCCTGTATTGTGCCTATTGGATCCGGTCCCGATTCGAAGCGCACAGCATCTCTTACCACTGACTTATCATCTATGTTTCTCAAGGCGCCACATCAACACTCCTTGTAGAAGGTTGGGTTGCCTCAAAACTGAGCTCAATCCCAAAAACTGACCAGGAGCTCCTATTAGCAAAATTCTTTGTATTATTCCGACTCATCTGGAATTCGAGAAATGCCATATATAACACACAACCAGTCTGCTCTAAATCTGGTTCAACTAGTCGAACAAGCTAGCAGCTATATATGTTTATATTATCGGTTCCAATGCTTATCTTTTTGTTGGTGCCTCTTTTCAGCCTACATCAAGGCAAACAGGCATTAGCTATGTAACCATCAGAGTAAGAGGAGACACCTGGTGCTGCCTCTACGATCTGAAAATTTTTTATGATCAGATATTGTCAGCCATTCATGCATTGTTTCATCGTTTTAGACAGCCAGAGCATCAGCCAAAGAGGAGGTAATAGAGGAATGAGGATAGGAGGGAGAGAGCATGACCAATTGACCATCAAATAATCGTGGTTCACAGTTCACTGATTTGTAGTTCCTGTTTATTCTTTGTACTACGCGATGCGGCCCATTCTAGATTCTACATTACCATCATT